CGTGTGCAGGATTCTATTTTAGCCAGCGATCTTGAGAGAAGGTTTGCTCTTAAGTTCACTGTTGGATTGTGCTGAAATACTTTAAACAAAGATTACACTCATTATATTTCATAACTAACAGTTAGTTTGTCGATTGGAGCTCTCAAGAGGGATTCGTGCAATTGCAAACAGAGGATGTCAGTATTCCTCCTCTGTTTCGGGCCGTGAGGATGTCGGCAAATGATGTTATTATAATTATCTTCTAATTTATTATTTTAAGTAGTTACATTATTTGCAATTGATTATGAACATCTTTTTTAATAATTTTAAAATCTGTATTTTTTATTTATATTTTAAATTTTGTTAATTAACTATGCATAAAATTAGAATGTTATTATAATTATCTTCTAATTTATTATTTTAAGTTGTTACATTATTTGCAATTGATTATGAACATCTTTTTTAATAATTTAAAAATCTGTATTTTTTATTTATATTTTAAATTCTGATTAATTAATTATGCATAAAATTATAATGTTATTATAATTATCTTCTAATTTATTATTTTAAGTCGTTACATAATTTGCAAAAGATTATGAACATCTTTTTTAATAATTTAAAAATCTGTATTATAATTTATTTTTTAAATTCCCTCACAATTGCGATGGAGAATTTTCAAAATATAAAATCTAGATATGTAGGGGACGGACAATAGGCATTTTCTTTGAAATTTTTTTAAGGTTAGGAAAATGAGGTTGGAGGGAGTCAAAGGAAATATTTAAAAGTTGGCAGTAAAATTGTGAGGGAGTTTCACATAATTTAAGTGGGAACTATGAAATTTTGGTGCCAAAAATGATTGGCATAACTTGGGCTTAATGCCATTTTTTTTTGCTTTTGACTTGCCTTGGAGGTATGATCCTTTTTTAAGGGTTAACTCAATTAATTAATGTTCTTTACTCAAGTAAACCATCATTTTGTGATTTAGATATATATTATAGTTTCTTTTAAGCATCTATGTACTAACTTTTTTAATGCTTAACACTTTTTCCTTTTGCAGGCTGCATCCCCTGCAAGCGACAGAGGAGATGCTGCTTCGGCACTTCAGCCACAGTGGGGGAGGTGTGATCCACAAACTAGAGGTATATGGGTTCGTCCTTTAGGCACCACAGAGTAAGTTGTAATTGTTACTAATGATGTACTAATGTGACTTCTAGGATTGCTCAATTGTTATAATAAAATAAATTGATTTAACATTGCCAGGTTTGAGTCGTATGATGAGATCATCAAATTCATTAATAATCAAATATTCCAGAATTTTCTCATCTATGGAGCACCTGGAAAGAGATTCATGATCCCATTCGTGCTGGTTGGTTGAGTGAATTCCTGGTAAGTTATGTATATCTCGTATAGCTAATGTTTTATTACAAAAATATATACTAACTACACATTTGTCACCAATTTGTGTGCTAATCGAAAAAATTGGCAATTTACAGGATCATTATAGGTGGCTGCCAAAGGATCGCCATAACCTAGCAAGAGCTTGGCATTGCAAAGCCACCACATGCTTCGTAGATAAAATGCATAAAGTAAGATATGACATCGGCAAACATGAATGGTGTAGTGAAAATTTAAAAACCCAATTGAAAGAAAAATGGAAGAACTGCCCTGAGTTTCAAAAGAGATATGCTCAAAATAAGCAAAATAGGGCCAAGCAGGGAGCACCCACATATGCTGGAGGGTCGATTTCAATCAGCAAGCATAAAAAAATGATAGTAAGTATAAATTGTTTTCTAGTTCGGTATTCAACAATTCGTACTTGCAACTAATGAATTAATGATTCTCATTTGTATTTCTAAGAGGCTTCTGGGGAAGTACCGCCAGAAAAGGTTGATTGGGCTACCTTCGAGCGAACACATTAACAATAGTCTGCAGCTGGCCAGAGGCGGTGGTTAAACCCGAGAGCGGAGCAAATTGCAGTTTGAGCATTTATTATTTGACGTTTGTTTTTCCTATGACGGTTTATGTCATATTTTACATGCCCACATGTGTGCTGGTTTTTCTTTACTTGCAGGAAAACTATCAAAAGGTTGAAGAGGAGAGGTCCGCACAGGCGCCGACAGACGGTCAATCCAGCTCCTCCTATTCCGATAATGGGAATATGTTGGTTACAGCTGCAGGTGGATTCAACAAGAAAGGAAGGGTGGTCGGGCTGGTAGGATATGCTAGCCGGCTGAAGCCTAGTAAGTGGCCCTCTACCCAGGTTGACAGTGTTTCTGCAGGTAAACTCAAGGCATAGTTAATTCTTTTATGTTTTCAATCTTTATTCTAATAATATTAAGGATAAAAATTTAACTTATTGTTTGATAATAATGTATTTGCAGATGATCTTAAAAGGATGAGGGTGACCCACTCCTAGATTCAGGAGCAACTACATGCTGCGCCAGAGCAGCTAACTTAGCAAGTGGACTTTATGAAACAACAAGCGGACATTATGAAGCAAATGCAGGAACAACTCCGACTTTTGATGCAGGATAAGGAAGCCAACTGCAAGAAGATGAAGGGACCGACGCCAGATGATGACCCTGATGATGATGATGACTTTGCTAGGACTTTAGAGGCATACTAGTTGTTGTTTGTATGTTTTATTTGATTTAGGACTTTAGAGATATGTCAGATGTTTTTTGTATTTTATTTTGATTAGAACTTTAGAGATATTTTAGTTATATTTTTTAGGATTGTTGTTGTTCACTTTTGTTGATATACCGTTTGATTTTAATTTAATTGTTTATCCAGTATTATTTTTGGATTTCTGTTACTGAATTTACGTATTTATGTTAATTTGGAACCCTTGTTGTTTACAGGAAAATTAACAAAAGTTTAATACATTTTTTAATTTTAATTTTTTTTAATTCTAGAATCTGTGGCGGAAATTTTCAAAATTCCCTCGCAAAATTCGTAGCCTATTGCGAGGGAAAAATCAAAATATCCCTCGCAAATTTTCCAATGGAAATTTAATACAATCCCTCGCAAATTTTGTGATGGAAATTTAACATATTCTCTCGCAAATTCTGCGACGGATTTATTTTGTATTCGGTCGCAGATTTTGCGATGATAGTCACATATTTTATCGGTCGCTAATTTGTGAGGGAAATTATACCTGCAATTTTTGTCGCAATCTGCGACGAAAAAACACTGTAAGCAGGTCGCGAGAGAAATTTACTTTTTGCAAGGGAAATTTTCTGTAGCAATTTGCGAGGAAATTTTCATATGACAAATTTCCCTCGCAAAGATATTTGCGAGGAGGGTTTTAGCGACACACTGTGTTCCCTCGCAAATTCCATCACAAACCAATTTTTTGAGGAATTTTGCTGTTTTGCGACAGAATTTTTCCCTCGCTGATTGTGAATTTTCTAGTAGTGCTTTTTTTAAATATAATAGAAATGAAGTTTGGAACTAATGATATACTTACTCCCTTAAGCCAATTTGTTTTCATATACTATGCAGAAAATGAGAAATCCCTATTGAAAATATAACAAATGATTAACTTCTTTGTCGTATTTGGACCTTTGTTCCCTTGTTATGATTTCCTATTTTAAAAGTGTTAGACTTAAGAGATGAATCTGTTATGAGCTTGAGTTTCCAGTGGAAGTTAGTGAGGTGGTTTGACCTTGATTTGTTCGAGTAATATCCAGAATTGAATTTCTTTTCAAGGTTCACTAGTCCTTTGATTTGGTCAATGTATAAGTTGTATGACTTATTATTATTTTATTTTATTTTGTAAAGAAGTTGTATGACTTATTTACCACAAGTCAATAATCAATATATTCTTTGCAACACATGTGTAAATGGGTCAGGCGGCCTAACAGGGGTCTACGACCCAACTTACATCAGACCAGCCTCAACCAATTATATATAGTCAAATAGAACAGATTCATATTTTTAAAAAGCTTACTTAGAAAGTAGGTTGTATGATTTCTTTTATACGGCGGGTCTATAAGCTTCTAAGCCGGCCTATATGATATTATTTATTTAAAATAAAATAAATAAAATTATTATTTTAATAATTTTGATTAAAAAAGTAATATTATTTTAGTTATTTTTTAATTATTGAATGCCTAATAGGCTTAACTAGCTAACAGGTCTAGTCAAAGACTTTTGTTTTTTAAATATAAGTCAAACCAGACTTATAATTTGGATCTACACAAGACTAAAAGATCACATCGAACTTAAAATATTTTAATAGGTATGACTTATTTAAACCAAAAATCCAGTCCATTTACACCCCTATTTGCAAGCTGACATTAGTTCTTAAATCTGTCGAGTGCATTATAGGGTTTAAATTGTGTATCCCCATTACATTTTTTAAAGCTTTCATTGATAAAATTGTCTCACTTATTGCATTTTTTACATCTCTACTAATAAAGTCATATTACAGAAATTTAATGAAATATACAGAAATTTAATGAAATATACTTATCATTGTAACTTACAAAATTAAGATTAAAAGAAAAATTATAAATATGTATTACAACAAATTTTTTAATTTATTTTAATAATATGTGTTTTTATAATAAAGTATATATTTTTTTATTTATTAAAAAGTGATTAAATTTTGTTTAAAAATAAAAAATTAAAAGGTTAAGAAAATAAAAAGTCAAGTTTTTCACTTTGAATTGAAGGGATATATCATGTCAAACATTGATTATGTTATGTTGAAAATTTGGGAGAGAGGACTTTACCATTATAGTGGTGCACGACTAGAATAAATTAATGGAGTAATGGATGAACTGATAAAGCAATAAATTTTTTTTTTTTAATCTAAGGGTCTACTGTTACTAAGAGCCAGTTGTTTATACTCACCAAGTTTCAACTACCCTTTTCACCTCTTTCTCTCAAATTCTCGCTCTCTTAACCCTTCAAAATGCACTTAGCTAAGAATAACAAACGGGCTATATATATCTACAAATTTTGGCCTTTTTTCCATATAGGAGGAAGTAACCCATCGCAACAACCTCAACCCTTTAGTTGCACTTGTACCTATAAAGAGAAAAATGAAATAAGAAAAATCAGAATTACGAGAAGAATAAAGATAATTTACAAAGCCTCATAGATGCATAACACTTACCAACATAATAGAGTTAATAGCTTTAAGTTGCATTCCCAAGCGGTCATGTACATAATAAAAACAAGCTACCGCATTCTCTTCTCCATACAATTTGCTTCATTTCAAAATTGATATATGTAATGTGAACTTCAATTCACTTTGAGTACTACTTACTACTGCCTGCAAAACAAAAAATGTGCTTATTTATAGTTATATATAAAGTTTTATCTTTTCTCATACCTTCATAAGAATAAAGCATCGACACTCGTACTCTCATTTTCTGAAAGGTAATTATCTGGATTTCATATATCATATACTTTTATATTTATATATGAATAATATGATATATCAATTTCTATAGCACACTGCATAAGATTTTGCTCTTAGTGAAAATGGAAAACTAGATTTTAGTGAACACAAATTTACCTTTTTCTAGCTCTTCTATGCCGAACAAAGATAACTATTAGAGAGACAAGAAGGGCTGATCCTGCTATGACCAATGGAACAAACAGTTTCTTTGACCCTTTTTTGTCGTCCCTTTTCTTTTTACATTCTTTTTGCTCCTCTAATACTTGAGATTCTTCCTCACAAGCTTTTTCTTCTGCAATTTTGTGCATTCCATGGCTTTCTTCATGATCTTTGTTTATGCATAGTTGATCTGCTGTGGATTCTGGTTGTATAGTTTCTATTTGTTCATCTTCTTGGTCTGTTTTACTTTTGGTTGATTCTTGAACATGTGTCTTGGAGTCCCTCTTCTTTGATTCTTGAACATCTGTCTTGGAGTCCCTCTTCTTTGATTCTTGATATTCTTGATTTCCAACTTCATGACTAGGATCTTTTTTGTCCTTTCCTTCAGCTTCAAATTGTTGAGGGGATGATGATGAGCTTGAAAATTTTGATGGTTCAAACACTTTATCAGCTACAACTTCTGATGCTGTAGTGCCTTGAATGGAATGAGTTGATTCTTTTTCCTCCCACTCTTGCATTTTATTCTGTGCCTTTGAATTATCTTCTTTCATACTAAACTTATCTAATTGACATGGCTCTTTGCTCAACAATTCTGTAGATGGAGACTGAAGTTGATTCACTTTTGGCTTATCAATCTCACCTTTTGATTCAACATTACTTTTTGCTTTTGAATGCGTAGCTGTAGCTTGCGCAAGTCCTTCTTCTTTAGAAGTGGTTGCTTCTAGTCCATGAATGAGCCTTTCCCCCTCCTTTTCTTGCTGTACTTCCTCTATCTTTGGAATTTCATATTCCATGGTTGGCCATGATAATTCATGGGGCTCTTTTCTTTGGATTTCCATAGGCAAAGGTGGCATCTCTTCTGTCTGTGATTTTCCAATTCCTTTATTTGGAGTTATTTCAATCATTGTTGGAGGTTCCACCTTCATTTTAGAAGTGACTTCTTCTGATTCTCTTTGGTGTTCTTTCTCTCGAGTTTCATGCTTTTTTTCTGTAACCTGTTTGAATCCACTAGCCTTTTCAAACTCTTGAGTTATTTCCTTCATTTTAGGCTTCTTTTCTTCTGCAGTTTGAGTTGTTTTTCCCCTCTCTCTTTTGAGTAATTCTCTGGAAGCCTCTTTAACTTCTTCACTCTTTGCAACCTTTGGTCCTTCCCTTTTATCCAGAACTATTTCTGCTCCTCGTTCTTGTTTCAACCACTCTTCTTCTACACCTTTTTCTGTTTGATATTCTTTCTTATCATTGTTCTCTTGCACATGTTGTTGATCACTATCCTCATTTAAAATCTTGGGGCCTTTGGTTTCCTCCTGATTTATTTCTTGCAACCCACACTGACTAAGTGCTTCTTCTTGGCCATCAACTTTTTGTTCATTTTCAAAGCATTGGTTTTCAAGGATCTGTGGCTGCAAGCTTTCCTTTTCTTCATTTTCCACAATGTTTTTCTTTGGTGATTCTTTGGATGCTTCATATGCTCCAATTGCTTCAACAACATTTTCTGATTTCCTGTTTTCTTTATCTATGGATTGTGGAGTATATCTTTGGCTTTGCAACTTTGATGGTTTGGCTCCTTGAGATACTGCGATTTTTGGTGCTTTAGTGTCCTCTGTGCCATAACCATATTGTTCCCTGTCTCTTGATTCTGGTACATCCTCTCTTGTCTTTGGAAATTTCCCTTCCATAATTGGCTTTGCTAATTCAATAGGCTCTTTTGTTTTCATTGCTGCTGTTAAAGGTGAAAACTCTTTCAGGTCTAGCTCTTCAAACTCATTCTTTGGTCCTCCTGCCTCTTTAAATTCCATACTTGTTACACTTGGAAGTGAAGATATTGCTTGCAAAGGTTCTGCTTCTTTCTTAACAACTTCTGATTTCCTAGGATGCTCTTTCTCTTGTGTTGTTTTCGTTGACTCTGCAATGTGTTTAGCTTTATCCACTTTCTCAATGTCATCTTTTATAATTTCTTCCTCTATCCTGGGCTTCTCATCATTAACATTCTGAGTTATGTATTTCTCTCTTTCAAGAGTTGCTTTCAAGTCTCTTTTTGTTTCCATCCTTTCAACTATTGGGCCAGCATCTGCTACATTTTCTTCTTTGTGCATCTCCTTTCCTATAGTTTCTACTTTTCCAACTCCTTTGCCAACATCTCTTTGCACATATTGTTGATCCCTATCATCAATTTTATTCTTAGGCCCCTCAGTTTCTTCTTGTATTGTCTCTCCCACTTCTTGTCCTTGGTGAAATTCATCTTTTCTAGTAACTTGTCCTCCTACTTTTAGCTGTTTTTCTAGAGGAATTTCTGGCTTCAAAGTTTCCCTTTGTTTAGGTTCTTGGTTCATCTTCATTTCAATTAAAATTTTCATATCTTTTGTAGGATCTCCCTTTTGTGATTCTAGGGATGCATCGTATTCTGCTTTGCAACCTTCATATAGTTTATCTCTTTCATCAACTTCGGACTGTTGAGTTGATGGAAGCCTTGGTGCTGACAATGGTTTAGCCACTTGATCTTCTATACTTGCAACCTCTTTAGTGCTTTCACTGCTTTGTGTGTTATAAGTGCTTTGTCCGCCTTCTCCTACTTCTTTTGCATTCTTTGGCTTTAAAATATCATGGTTCACACTTTCATTTATTGATTCATGAGTCTCCTTGGTTTGAATTTTTGGAGGTAGCAGCTCTGTCTTCTGTGTCTTATCCTTTGCACTTCCTTGTTCAACCTCCTCAGTTGAGCCTTTTGTAGATTGCAACTCTCTTTCAGGAGTTCCTATATCTGATGCTTTTGGATGTTTTACCTCTGCCACTTCTTTCAAAGTCTGGTTAATTCTTTCATCCTCAGACTGTGGACATTTTTCCTTTGCTGTAGACTCAACTTTTGTTTCCTCACTTTTTAATTTGGTCACCTCTTCTTTGACCTCTTCTGCTTCTTCTATTTCTTTATCCTTTGGTCCCTCTCTTGTCTTACCTAGTGATTCTATCATTTGCATAGGAAACTCTCTTGCTATTGTGCTTGCTTCATATTTTCCTTTGCTCATCTCTTCTTGCAAGCGTTGTCGATCCATTTCCTTAGTTGGAATCTTAGGATCCTCTCTTTGTTTACTTGTTGTCTCACTAGTTCTATCTTTCCTCAAACCCTCATTTGCTTCAACATGTATCTTTCCATGTTTCTCTCCCTTTACTTTCTTCACAAATTGTTCAATTTCTGCACCCACTTCCTTGACATCTTTTGCTTCTTCTATCTTTGTTCCTTTTAGTCCCTCTCTTTTATTAGCTAGTGAATCTACCATTTTCTTAGGAAACTCTTCTTTTAAAGCCTTGTTTACTTCCAATCTTCCTTTACTCATCTCTTCTTGCAAAGGACGTTTATCTTTTTCCATTGTTTGGATCTTAGGAACCTCTATTTCTTTTGGAGTAGTCTCCCTTGTTAAATCTTTCCTGAAACCTCCATTTTCTTCAACTTGCATCTTTTCATATTTGTCTCCATTTAGTTTCTTCACAGGCTGTTCAATTTTTGAACCATCTTCTTTGACATCTTCTGTTTCTCTAATCTCTGGAGACTTACTACTTTTGCTTCCATCAAATACTCCAATATAAACATTCTCTTTCCCACTTAGATGATCGCTAGACTGAAGTTTTGGCTCTCCAATTTCTTTTTCCATTCTGTCCCTTGTTGTGTCTTCCTCAAAAACCTCACCTAGTTCAACATGGATCTTTGTAGATCCTTCTCCTTTCAAGTTCACTTTACCTAACTCAATTTTATCCTTCTCATCTTGGGCAATTTCCTCTACCACCTTCTTGGGAAGGTTTTCTTGTACAGTGCCCAACACTTGATTCTGTAAGGTCTCAGTTATTGTGCTTTTCTCAATAACCCTGCTTGATTCTTCAGTTCTATTCTTGGGTTCAACTCCTTTCAACTTCTCCATTAAACTTTCAGTTTCAGTCATTGCTTCTTTGGTCACCTCTTTTAGCTCTTCCTTCTTTGCAACCTCGAATCCTTTACTTCCTTCAATCAACTTTTCCCCAACCTGTATGGGCAACTCATCAGTTGTACTGTTTGATATTTTAAATCCTTCTTTAAAAGTATTCTCCAATGCATCTTGTTGATTACTATCCTTAATTCCATTCTTCTCTTGCATTATCTCTTTTTGAATGTCTTTCCTTTCTTCCACATACATCCTTTTGGGTTCTTCACTTTCACCCTTCTCCACAAAATACTCAATCGCTTTTCCCTTTCTTTTCACCACTGCTTCTTTGACATCTTTAGTTTCTTTCATCTTTGAAACATTCAAACCTTCACTTTCCTCAGGAGTAGCTTTTGGTAACTGCTTAGGAAACTCTTCCTTTATAGTTATGACTGCATCAAATCCTACCTTACCAGCATTTTTGTTAACACATTCTTGATCTCCATCCTCAGTTTCAATCTTAGGCTTTATGATGTCCTTTTGGATGGTATGGAGGGTATCTCCAAATATGTTTTTCTGAATATCCATATTGGCTTCAACAGGCCTCCTTTCAGATTCCCCTCCGTTCATCTTCCCTTCAATGCTTTCAGTTTTCTCCATTTGTTGAATCCTAGACTTCTTAAATTCTTCTTGGCTTATACCATCAATATTTCTAGGAATATGATCATCTACATCTTCATCAAGTTCTGATGTCTTCATTGCTTTGAATTGTTCCATACTACTTTCTTCCACACTTTCTTTAAGTCTATCCGCAGCTTCACACTTGGGTTCTCCAAATTCTTTTTGTTTTGACTCTCCACATGTGTCCTCCTCAGTCAACCCATTTTGACTCTCCAAATTCTTCACAGATTCATTAGATACTCGTTGGCTTGTATCACCAATGATCTGCATGATAGGTGCACCAGCATTTTGCTCTATTTCTGATCCGTCCTCAATTCCTAACTTAGATTCTTCTATATCTTCTTGGATCATCTCTTCAATTATGTCCCCATTGGCATCATGAAGCATCTTGTTAGATATCCCTCCTTCATTCTTCTCAACATTTTCACTTTCCTTCATTTTTTGGACCTCAGACTCTTTATCTTGGCTTGTATCTCCAATTTTCTGTGAGATATATACATCAACATTTTGCTCTAGTTCTGATATCTTCATTGTTGGATATCCTTCATTGCCAACCTTTTTTCTCACACTTTTTCCATTTCCATCTTTGTTTCCCAAGTTGGATTCTTCTACTTCTTTTTGTATTGTCTCTCTAATTATTTCCCTTTTGGCATCATCAAGCTTCTTGTCAGATACTCCTCCCACCTTCTCCATGAGACTTTCATTGTCCTCCATTTCTTGAACTTCAGACTCTTTAGATCCTTTTTGGCTTGTCTCCCCAACAACACCATTAAGAATATGATCAGCTTCACTTTTCTCTACTTCTGATCTTCCTCTATCAGATTCTTCTTCCTTGACCTCTTCTATCCTAGCCCGACAAATTCCTTTAACAAATTTTGGTATGACAATCTTCAAAATCCATTCCTCTTCATCATAATTGGATTTGATCCTATCCAAAACCACCCCATCAGGAACCTTGAAAACCTTATTGAATCCTGTAATTTCAACCTCTTTCCTATACATTACACATCCCATCATCAACATTTCCTGAATTGGCTTCTGTCCACTAATTGATATCTTACTACCATCTTCACTTATCTTGATGTCAATATTATTCCTCTTATAACCTGTGTTTGCATGGATACTTGCCTTGATATATCACATCAAGAACATAAAAGACTAAAAAAAAAAAAAAGGAAGACAAACAAATCTGTTATATAAGAATGAGAAGTAGATTAACCTTTAAGATGTGCAGTGAGGATGAACATGGTGTTTGTTTCTCTAGACTGAAAGACTGGTCCTGCTCTGTCCTTGGCTAATTGATACTCAGAGGTAGAAGTAACATCATCTCTAGTTTTAGTTATTTTGAGTCCCAATTCCAGCTCCATCTTTGTTCCTGTAATAATATTTTATTTTTTTTACCAGAACAAGGATAAAATAAAATGATGCAAAGGGGTAATAGGTTAAATTTTTTGAATGATAGAACAGGAACATGATGTATGTGTAGATATATGAGGCTTCTATCATCGTCTCAATACAATTGTGTAGTTTTAGCAAATAAGAGAAGTATATATTCTTTTCTTCCACATACAGTTGTTGTGGAATTGAGGCTGCTTTAAGTGTTTGCATTTGATCTTTCTTCGTTGGAAGCTTTCCTGATTCAAGCCAAACCATTTACTTTTGTTGAAAGGAGTGAAAGCTTATCGGGTGAAATTCATGATTATGTCTTACACAGATGCACCAAAGTTTGGAAAAGGGGGTTGATTTTCCAATTTTCGAAAGGTAAATGCCCTTGATTTTGAAACAGGTGTTGTAAATTTCTCATTCTAAAAAATAAAATAAATAAAAAGATATGGGAGAGATTATATTGACTACCTTTTTTTTTTCTTATTACTTGTTACTACCAAATCTTAACTTTTGATTTCCGTCAATCTAACAGTTATAATTTATTAGAATTAATAATTAATTAATAAGTGTGACCCAATAAATTATAACCGCTAGATTGACGGAAATCGATTAAGATTTAGTAATAACAAGTAGTAAGAAAAAAAAGTAGTAAGTATAACCTCTCCCAAAAGGTATATACAACAATATATCCCCTTAATTTTACCCAATATGTTAAGATTGAATATTTTGTACATACCTTTTGCTTATATATATATATATAGGGCTTATCATTTCTCAAGCTGTCGGAGATAATTTTATCTCCAGCTACTAAATCATAACCGTACAAAGATGGATCAATAATGGTAAAGGAAAAGACAGAAAAACAGAATCATAACCAATCAAAGGTGAATCAATTAATATAATGAAATAAATAAATAAAACGATGTAGTTTTGGGATGACCGGAGATAAACTTATATCAAGTTGCTTGAGAAATTTTTTTCCCATAAATATATATATATATATATGGCTTATCGTTTCTCAAGCTACTTGAGATAATCTTTTCTCCGGCTACTAAATCATAGTCGTACAAAGATGATCAATGGTGATAAAGGAAGAGAGAGAAAAAGGGAATCATAACAATTTAAAGGTGAATCAATTAATATAAGGAAATAAATAAATAAAACGACGTAGTTTTGGGGTAGCCGGAGATAAACTTATCTCAAACAGCTTGAGAAATGTTTTTCCCATATATATATATGGGAAAAACATTTCTCAACAGCTTGAGATAAGTTTATCTCCGGCCATCTCAAAACTATGTCGTTTGCTTTATTTATTTTCTTATATTAATTGATTCACCTTTGAATGGTTATGATTTTATTTTTCTCTCTCTTCCTTTATCATCGTTGATCCATCTTTGTACAGTGAGTGGATACAAAATTTGGTCCAGTGCACTAAGTTCTTCCGCTAGAACACAGTTATAGTAAATATTATAACTATGTTCTCCCGGGAGAACACCATTATAATATTTAGTAACTAAGTTCTCGCGGGAGAACTTAGTGCACTGGACCGTCCAGTGACTGAATTTTCATTTTATATATATATATATATATATATATATACCCTTTAGTAAATGAACACACGTACTTGTAATTTTTTTTGAGTTAATGTAACTTTAATTATCTCATTGAGACGAGTTGACTTTCATGGTATTCTCATAAGCTTCTAAACTCTTTTATTTAATTTTTTATTTAGTTTCTAAATTATGATTATTTTATCAATTGATACTTTACTTGAGTTATATTTAATCTAACATGATAGAATCTTAAAAAAAAATTATACAATGAGTGTACTGAGCTTTGGACATATAACCTTATACAAACTATTCAAATCCCTCACCACTAGACTAATCCTAATGGCTTGACAGAATCCTAATTTGTTTTAACAGTATCTATGTTAAATTATAAATTAAAATGCTTAATACATACATATATATTATATATATATATGGGGTTTGATTTTCTTATGTTGTACGAGAATTGAATTCCTATGTTGTGACTCAGTAAATGGTGGACTACACAATTATTAAAAAAATAAAAGAAAAATTTTGCACGCAAATCGAAGGGTCACAACATGAGAATTGAAATCTCATACAACATGAGAAAATGTTGATTTCTGTGCATCCAACGATTACAATTTAGGAAGTTACACAAATCAATTAATATTAATTAATCATTAATAATAATTAATGAGATAATTATCTCATTAATTATCTTACACGGGTGTAAAATGACCTGATCCTATATATATGGGAAAAATGTTTCTGCAGTTAATGCAGATAAATTATCTGCATTTATTTTCAAAACGACGTCGTTTTAATATTTAAATCTTAAAAAATTATAAGTATAAAGACTATTATAACTCTGAAATAAATTAAAATTACAAAAATATCATGATTTCTGCCCCAAAACGACGTCGTATTAGGCTTACTGCAGATAACTTATCTGCAGTAAGAAAAAGCGAACATATATATATATATATATATATATATATATATATATATATATATATATATATATATCGTGTTGCATGAGATAATTATCTCATGCAACATAGACAATATAGCGGGGTCCACTATTTTAAAAAGAAAAAGTAATGGATCTCACTACTTTGTTTCTATTGCATGAGATAATTATTTTCCATATATATATATAGGAAAAATATTTATCCTTTTAAAGTATATAACTTTGTGTCATTTTGGATCCTAACCATTGATTTTCGTCAATCAACGGTTAAAATTTATTGGGTCAAACTTATTAATTAATTAGTAATTTGCAATAAATTATAACCGTTGATTGACGAAAATCAATGGTTATAATCTTAAAGGGTTTTATAAGAGTTATGTTGTAGGAAAAGTGATTGTGTAATGTTATATAGATTCGTTTTGTGTGCCTTAATTTTTTTTTTATTTTGCTTTAGAAAGTGTGGGCCCCACAAAATATTGTGTGTGTAGAAAAGTTGTTGGTGTCATGTGACATGATAGATATAAACCCCTATCTTAAATGATACAAAGTTATGTCCTTTAAAAGGACAAATGTTTCTCTCATATATATATATATATATATATATATATATATATATATATATATATATATATATATATATCCTTTGAAAGGAAAAATAAAAATAAAAAATAATTATATATAATATACAATACTAATAAATTATAATTATATAAAAAAATATTATAATTAAATTAATTTTTTTTTTGGTAAATAATTAAATTAATTTTTACTTCACTATTAATTTTTATTTTACATATATACAATTCTAATGTTAATATCTTTTACAATATTTATAAAAAAAATTATTTATTTAATTTATAATTTGAAAAACCAATGAATTATTTTTATTATGAATATTTATTAATTATATATATGTATATTAATTAATGTTAATGAATGAAAAGTAAAAAAAGAAAGAATAAATAAATACTATGATTATAAAAAGTAGTTATTATAAAAATCAATATTAAACTAAAAAGTTTCAAATAAAAATTATTCAATATTATGATTATTATATATTTTAATTTAAATTATTAAACATTATATATGATATTTAATCATTTTCATATTTTATTTTCTAAGGATTAAAATACCCAAATTTAAGGATTTCAATGAATAATTTATTGAATGTGCAGATATACATAAATCCGTAACAATAACTATATAGAAAAACCAATTAGAGAAATAATTATAATTCAATTTTGGCACTAAATAATAATACTTTAAAGTTTATGATGGTAATTTGTAAAAGTACAAAGTATACATTCTTTTATTTTCCATTTTTTATTATTTTGAAATTATCATATTAGTCCTTGAAAGTTTTTTATTTATTGAAGAGCTAAGTGTTTATGTTGTTTTAGGAGACAAAATTATATATTATGTGGGTTGGGAAAAAATTTGTCATGATAAAAATTAAAATAGCCCTAAAATCAGTGTAATTAAATCTAGACAACCCAGGTTCTGGTGACCCGGTGGGGTGACAAGTTGGGATCACCATTCGGATCGAGTATGCAGTCAACCCTTAAAGACCCGTCCAACCCGCTCGACTTTTTCTGAGTCCCAGTGACCCGCCAGACTGGGTCTGGTTTTTGTGTGTGCTTGTTGCCACATCAAGCCTCTGCCGCCAACCTCGTCATTCAGATCGGAAAGACTATACCAGGGGTTATGAATCACCGTTGATAGCACCGTGAAACTGCAACACAAAATTCCTTAATGCCTTCATTGTGAACCATTCTAGATCGACCTGACCGCCATGAACAGTGCCACCCACGCTGCATCGCACCATCGCAGTGTTGTCGTCCATGGCCATCCATCTTGCCGTGAGATCAAGCCACCTTCACCCTCAAGATTGTTGCAAGATCACCATGTCCAGTTCTATTGGTGGTTCCTTCGTGCAGAAATGAACTCATCTTTTCTCCTCATCTTTTGCAGTCATTAGCAAATGAGCCCTTCTACTCCTTTGTCTATTTTGATCTTAGGATTTCTTTTTCTTAATAGACCATTAGCCCATATTTTTCCAACGCCCAATTGCTTTCAAATGGGCTTTTTTTAGTTAAATCAAATTTAGTGATTTTTTTGGGGGAAAAATGTTTGTTCTCTTAAAGGATGGTCATTTTAGTTAAAGCTAGTATTTTTTTTTGATACATTAAAAGGATGAAAAACAAACAAAAGAAAATTCACAAATTAAACAAACAAAAAAATAAAGACAAAGCTATCACATTCCCCTACTGGGATGGCAAACTCTAATAGTGTGTCCGCCTGGAGCAGAAACTGTAAGGGTCTAAAAGAATTCGCAAAAATTGTATCATCCGGTATTGAAGCATTCTGAAGTGGAATAGTAGCAAGATAATCAGCACTAAAGTTGGCTTCGCAATATGTATGAACAACCAAAATCTGCCAATCTTGATCTAAGAGTGCTCATATCCGAGTTAGTAAATGATAGCGACTCGGCAAGTGCACCGGTCGTAAAGTAATAAAGTGTATCGGAGTACGAGATCGTTCCCACGAGGATCGATTTTCAAGCTCTAGTTCGCTAATCGCGGTTTAGTTGGACAAACAAGAATAAGATGAAGAGAATTGTATTTGGAAGAATTTAAAATTAAAAACAAGCAATAACATAAAAATTAAAAGAACAATTGAAAAGGTGATGATTGATTAAAGAATTTAATAAACAAGCGTAGTTAGGGTTTCGACTTCCCCAATCTCCTCAATATGTTATGAATTAAACTGCCAAGAATCCGTTCTTAATATATTGCCAATCAATTCTTTCTAAGTTAATTAGGGCTCAATTCCTTGTTACCCTAAATCTATGTGATCTCATAAGAACCCTAGTTCCCCAGTTATTCCCCAAGAAAACATGCATTAAGATCAAGATTTCCAAGATTGCACAATTACCCTATGTCTATCCCTAGATCACAAGGATTGTGATAAATTTATCAAGTCAGGGTTCATGCACCAACATCCCCATTGTCATACAATTCTCCAAAATCATTCTATAAGGAGCAAACTCATAGAAAACATTAAAAATAGATAAATTTATTCAATTATAAAAGAAAAGAATTCGGAGACAATTTAATTCATAAACATAAAGATTCAATTGGGTTCCATCTACCCCTAACTACATAAAAGTTTAGCCTAACATACTGAATTCAAAAACAATAGTAAAGAAAAGAGAACCCCAAGCCTCCATTGATGTGATGTTGACTTGGTTCCTCAGTGTTCCAGCGCTTCGCAACAGGATTCCTCCTTCAGGTCTCTATGTAATTCTCTGGACTGGTGTTGAATATCAATCATTTGGTCCCAAGGCCCTTTATTTATAGAGGAGAATATATCTTTTTAATTCCTCTTCTAATCTCCCTGAAATCAGGTTCAAATCTTGATTAAGATACGAAATCTTCCATGGGCCTGAATTTGATCGCGTCAGGACGTTTTAGCGCCCATTACAGCGCTAAAACGCTCTCTTTGTGTATTCTTGTCTGCCTCAGGGCGTTTTAATGCTCTTCAGGGCACTAAAACGCTCTCTTCGAATGGAAATTGTGGCTGTCAGGGCGTTTTAATGCTCATCAGGGCGCTAAAACGCTCTCCTTCAAGCTGCTTTCCTTTATTAGAGCGTTTTAACGCGCTCTTGGGGCGCTAAAACACTATCCTTCAGCTTGTAAACACTTGTAACTTGCTTCCCTTGAGGCTTTCTTTGGTATTCCATCATCTCCTTGCATTCTTTTTGCTCCATTAGCATTCTTTTATGTCAAAATACCTTCAAAATAAGCAAGATTACAACATGTTAGCTAGAAATCCATTCTTTATGATTTTATACTGTAAAACCTTAACTTCCATGCAATCTACTATGTAATTATTGTATAAATTAGCCTAAAAACATGGTAAACCAAGGGTTTATCAAATATTCCCAGATTTAAATATTGTTGTCCTCAGCAATCAATCAAAAAAAACTAAGAAAATAAGGAGTAGGAATCTTCTTTTGCGTGGAATTTGATAGGAATGATTCAATCAGAGACATGATTACAGAGCATTCAGACTCTAATGAATGATACATCAATCAACAAGATTCATAATTCATCAGTTAAAAGCTGCAACAAAATTTCTTAAGATCAAGAATAAGGAAAATTTCCTAAAACACTCCCTCACTAGGAATTCAATTCACTCACACTCAACTATTTAGAGGGTTGGTGTTTCACTCGTATCCCACTGAATCAACACTACCATAGGCTTGCTTATATTCTCGCTCTCCACAGCTATTATGACATATCTCACAGGTCAAGAGATTTTTCTTAGGGCTATAACTTGGCCTGGCTAAAGGAAGGAAAAATTTAGAGAATGAGCTGCAAGATTTAAATCCAGATTCAAAGAGGAATAAATGTAATCATTTACAATTTGTAAACAACTTTCTTTTCTTCTTTTTCTTTTGAACTCTTCTCTTGTTTGTCGTTTTCTTTTCTCAGAACAATTTTTCTTTCTTTCTTTTCACTTCTTTTCTTTTTCACTTTCTGAGTATTTTTCCTTTTCTTTGTTTCTTTCTAACCAACCTTACTTCCTTGGCTTTTGCCTTTTTCCCTGTACTTCCATACATCACAATTTATATCATCAACAATTAACACATTTTCCTCAATTTAAATCAGAAAATTAATCTCAAATAAGGTGAGGATTTATATGGAAAGTGGCTTATTCATCTTTATAAGTTTTTCAAAGAATAAACAGGCCCAGGCTCAAATAGGTTTAACTAAGGAATATCAACAATGGTTGGCTATTCGGCCATCTAATTTAAAGAAAGAACATGCCTCAATCATATCCATAGAATATATCACATACCAATTCAAGCAAGAAACAAAGCAAGTTCTAGAGTCTTTCATATAGTGGGATGCACACTCAATAAAAATTTTCTGTATAGGCTCAAAACCTCACGGCTATGAATGCACAATTATTTCCCTATTCTTTATTTCAAAAAAAAAATTCATCAGTTAAGAGAATATTCAGTGAACCATGAAAATCATTACATTGATGCTCATTATGAAAATATTCAAGTAAGTGCATCATCATGCTCTGAATCAATTACTGATAAAAAAATTTCGCCATTTTTTCATTTAAAAGCACTGAGTAAAACTTTCAAACTTTTCACAAAAACAATGGCTTTGGGGTTTTCAAAACAAACTAAAAATTAAAAAGTCAATTAAAAAAAAATTAAAGCTAAAGCAAAGAAGAAAGGATTTGAGATAGTTTCATGTTTTAGCCGGATATTCTGTATGTACTCATGAAGTTCCTCCAGCTTACTCAATTGTGCTTGATGAACTGCGTGTTTCCCATTTCCAGATTTAAATGTTGTTGTCCTCAGCAACAGATTTAAATCTACAAAGAAAACACGTTGAAAAATAAAAACAACTAGTCATTCTCTTGTTATTTGTTCCATTTTCTTCACCTGTAAAATTCACTCAATGATAGCCATTAGTCTCAACACCTTCTCCTATATTTTTGTATTTTTATTATTTAATTCAAAGTAAAAATAACTAAAATAGTGAAATTAAAAACAGTAAAGTGTTGGGTTGCCTACCCATTAGCGCTTGTTTAACGTCACGAGCTTGACGTACCTGATCTACTTTCATGGTGGCTCAAAGCATGAGCTTGGTGATAACCAAGCTCTATCATTCAAAAATTGTGTCCTACCGTAGTGCTCTTCTGCATATGGATGAGGTAAAGTAGTCTCAGGAACTTTGAACTTGACTTTTACATGCTTTCCTTTGCTACTGAGCTTCTCCATCTTAACTTTTGGTTTACTTTCTTGAGAAGACTCCTCATTGTGTTCTTCTTCACCTTTTTTTCACTAATAAAGTAGACTTGATCTTCCGGTTGAGCTACGGATGAGGGGACTTCTTTGTCAAAGAATTTGAAAATTGCTTGCTCTCCGTCTACCCGTAAGATCAACTCACCTTTAAGTACATCAATCAGTGCTCCTGAAGTTGCCAAGAAGGGTCTTCCAAAAATCATAGGAATCGTGACATCTTCTTCAATGTCAAGGATGACAAAATCAACAGGAATGATGAATTTGCCTACCTTTACCAATATGTCCTCAATGATGCCATAAGCTTGCTTTGAAGAGCGATCATCCAGTTGCACTATCGTCTTTGTGGGCTTCACTTCAGTAATCCTAAGCTTCTTCATCATGGAGAGTGGCATGACATTGATGCTAGCTCCAAGATCACATAAAACATTGTCCACTTCCACTTTTCCTATAGTGCATGGAATGCTGAAGCTCCCTGGATCCTTGACTTTGGTATGTAATTAGACTTCATTTGTCTAATTATTAAAATAATATTAATCATTTCCTAATTAAACATATACTTATTAAACTCCTATAATTCTTATCATAAATTATTAAATAACTTGCTTGGCATGAGAAGCATTCTTATTTATAATATCATGTTTCTAACATGATTTACTTACACTACTAGAAAATTCTCAATCTGCGAGGGAAAAATTTCCTTGCAAAACAGCAAAATTCCCTTGCAAAATCTATCAGCGACGGAATTTGCGAAGGAACAAGGTCCCTCGCTAAAACCCTCGTCGCAAATAGATTTGCAAGGGAAATTTGTCATATGAAAATTCCCTCGCAAATTGCTACGAAAAAAGCATCGTCCGGAATGAAGCCCCATCTACACAGATGCTCCCTGACTTTGTCCGGCGTTTGAAATTTAAAACACTTACATTTCACACACGGACAACTGATAACGTTACTTGATGTACCTATTTGCTCCAGAGCAAATTGGATGAACGTTTCCAAACCCTCCAAGAATGCTCGAGTTAGTTGTCTTCTATCAGTTAGACGATTGTACATCCAACTCCTATCATGATCGTCTTCCATACTCCTGACTTTGTAAATATCAGAAAACACAAGGCCAAATACCATAATATCATGACATCAGATTCTATAGTAAGTGTGGAATTCAAATACCAGCAAACACCGAGTAATTTCCGCATATATGATGCAACATACTGCCGTAAGTGGCAAACAAACACATGCATTCAACAATTCCAGCAAGCAACCAGAGAATGAGGGTAGTACACCAGCAAATGGGGACATGCATTTAGGGGGAGCAAACAAAGAATGGGAAAGTACACAAGATAAGGGGGACATACTATGCAACATGGGGCATTACATATATAAAGTTATGTCATCACAATACAAGCATGCAATTATTTTTCATTCAAAGTTTGTTACCTGAAAGACCTGAAGTAAAAAATCTCAACGAACGGTCGATGCAAATGTGCACAAGAGAATATATGGTGAAATGTCTCCAACTGCACCAAACAATAAATAATAATAAATTTTAGCCATTTAAGCATAGAAGATAAACTGGTAATATATAAAGAAATTATAAGTAATTGATGGATAAGTTTAACTTGTAATATATAAAGAAATGATAAGTAATTCATGTAGCAGGTCTATGCATATAGCTATGGGATGCAGCAGTAGCAGTAGCTATGGCATCAGAAGCAGAGAGTAAAACAGACACGCAGAAGAAAAGCATCGTCAAGTATAGGAGCGGGAGAGACTAGGGACTAGAGAGCAGTAGTAGAGTAGAGGTATCAGACTTCCAGCATATGTCTATCCCACTTTGTCCTTCATTCATTCCATCATTTAAATATAAATAAACAAAGTACCTAATAAAGAAGTTGTCATTAATTTTTATTATAAGCTTTTTAATTATTACAACTGTCCATGGATGTACGATAATTTTAAGTTTTATTTTACATTATAGTGATCTAATAATTACTAACTATTAAAGATATTACGTCCAAGCAGTAAAAGCACGCCTAAAGGTGATAAGATTCAAGAGATGTAGTTTACAAAAACTAGCCTGATATCATCTATTTCAGCTGCTGAAAGATGATACTATGTGAATTCCTTGTACCTGAATTTATGCATAATTCTAAAAATAAATAGGGAATTGTTATAAAACACTAAAGAACCAAAGGAATAATCTCCAAAAAAAAACAAAAAAGAAAACCAATCTATCCAAAATGACCAAAATATAAAAATAATGGCTTGCAGGCTTGCACACCACATGTACTGCCTCGTCAATATTCCTCACAAATAAGTAAAGAAATGAGAACTAAATACAACCATATCCTAATATATATAATTATCATGAAGCATAATTCAGGAAGAACGCTTGAGAATTAACAACAAAAAGAAAAATCTTATAAATTTAAAAAAGATTAACGCCCTCGAGGGTATCCACATATATTTAAAAACTTATGGCAAATGGTCCTACAGAAAGATATAGAACACCCAATTAACATGCCATCTGGACCATTGTATTTCAGATATATAAGCATAACTGTGATAGTTTTGTTAACAGTAGATAAGATAGCAAATAATCTCAACTAGACTAGGATTCGCATACCAGTAAGTTTCTTTCATTGTATTATAGGAAATGGAACAACGAAGAATCTTGGGCAATATGAGAACAAATTCAACCTTAAAATATTTTTTTAGAAGCAGTTTTATCTCAAAAAGTTTTTATAAAATAAAGAACAAAAAAATGAATACCCGCGTGGGCTTGGGGTCATACCTGAATCTAATGATGGTTTCATACCTGAATTACCTAATGAGTATACATTTTTTTTACCACATGTGATGCAGTACTTTTAAGTTTTTTAGAATTACCACATGTATAAAAAAATTTAACTTCAAGGGCAATCTTGTTTTTTATACTCGTGTGATATTCATTGTCACTGAACCAATTTTGTTCTTCTCAAACTAATTATGACACGGCATAAGTTAGTGGGAAAAGAATTTTAAAAATATCCCAGACAAGATCCAATTGCGCCAAATTCCCATACATTGGAGATGAAAAACAGGGAACATTATGTGCAGCATTTCAGTTGATGGCTTCTCTATTCAGTATTTTTCTTTAGCCCCTATTTTACTGTATATCAAGGTTAGTTATATTTGTGTTTCTAATATACCAAAACAAAGAGTGGCCCATATGCACATGGGCAACCTGTGACAAACTCAAGTCACTAGTAAGTTCCTCTGCCGACAAATTAGTTTAATTAAAACAAATATTTGGTTGTTGGGTATTCTTCAATCTCTCCTTTCTGGCAAAGAGGGTCTCTTAAGATCTTTTGCATCGTATTAAAATGCTCAATTAAATTCTCTTAAGAAAGTAACTACACACAAAAAGTAGTTACTATTTAATCATATGATGTGACAGGGAAATCAATAAAAAAAATTTCATTTAGATTTGTGTGCTAAGTTCACTTAGTATCAAGGGAGGTTCACCAACATTATGCATTTGATTAGTGCCAGAAACTGAAGATATGTCCCCTTATGACTATGGATATTTTATACATGAATCCGTGACACACGAGAAATGTTAAAGCAAAAGGGAACCTCAAGCATATACTATACAAATCCTTTGCCTACACGACACAATAAAAAAGCCACTGGTAATTGAAATGAAGCCAAATCATTTCAAATGGAACAACAATTCGTGCCAAATTAATAGTATGAAAGTAACTTTTACCGGGTTTTTTCTCTTTGCAATAAATAATCACGTACAGAAAGACAAAAAAGGAAACAAGCTATACATGTTAAAGTGGTCTTATTTGGGAAAAAACAAAAAAAAAATAAACAACTTTGTCAAAGATGCTGAACTCTGAAGTAAGATGTTTCTTCTACCCCTCCACTCTTGTAAAAGGAACAGCAAATACTCATAGCTACAAGAAAATCTCCAAATTTTCTGTTAGAAATTAGCAATATTTTTACTACTAAATGTGTTTTTAATCTCCCATGTTATCTCTCTGAATATTTGTCTATTATCACAACAACAACAACAACAAAAAATAAAAAATAACAAGAAGGCCACAGAAGATTCAACAGTTCTTGCTCAAAATTAAGGTCCACAAAGACAATGGAGGCATTCTAAATGCAAAGAGGAACAATATATGATGGTTTTGACTGCATAATATGTTTAAGATATGCCTAAGATGCAGAGATGATAAAGATATATATTTATATCTAGTTCGGTCTGGTTAGAAAGACTTTACAAAGATATATATTTATATAAAAACATATCTCTTTGAGAATGAATTGGCATGTCCGAATTAAGCACTTGATTCAGAGATGATAAAGCTATGAATTCATCGATTGGTTTGTCAACAGGAAGAACGCGTCAACAAATTATGATGCCCTTTTAATCATTTTAGAATTGTGGAATATATGCAACATGCCATTTAACAGTTGCAAATTATACTGGTCCTTCACATTTTTGGTTGTTCCTCATGTGGGCCTACATCAGAAAATCTCTCAGTGGTACCAATTAATAGACTCATGGTCACAGTACTCAAAATACTCCAAGATAAGAACAATATCAATTCAACAAAATTTTAAGATTATAACAAAAAAGAAAGAACTTGAAAAGCATATGAGCGTACTGGACGGAGCATGAGAGAAGCAAATTAAACAAATGATAGTCTTATATATACCCATAAAAAAATTATGAGCATCAGGTTAGATAATCTTTAACTCAGCATCAGATTGGGACAAGGAGGTTTTACTCACTATGTGTATCAAACTAAACATTTACACCGTTAATGTATCAAAATTAAACTCATAATATTTTGAGTATCTTGCAGTTCAAACTAAACGATTTGATTAAAACACACAGAAAAGCAAAAAAGAAAAATGAAAAACAGAAAACAAATAATTAAGAAAGAAAAAGTTGTATATGTACCTATGCGGATGAGTAGCAGCGGAATCCAAGTGTTTCAAATGATCGAACAATTCCCTTGCGGCTGTGAGTGTGCGGCGAAGGGTGCAAAGCTCGCGGATCGTTAGCAACTGACCGGAAGTGGCGGCGGCGAGAATCTCCGTCAAGTCGTTGATACCAGAGAAATCCGGCGGCTGAGTGATTAGTCTGGCCGCCGAAGTTTGATCGAGAAGCTTCTGGCTCTCCTCAGATGTGAAATATGAAACGCAACCACAACAAATGTGATGAGTAAGCTCGCAACCACACCGAAGACAGAGAAGCCCTAAGCTCGCAACCACAGCAAATATCAAATACTTCAACAGAGACGAGACGACAAAGAGGGCAACGGCCGGTCGAAATGGATGGAGGGAAACTGATGGAGGGAAACGGGAAGAAATGCAAGGGGGGAAATGGATGGAGGGAAATAGGAAGAAATGCAAGGGGGGAAATGGATGGAGGTGAAAAGTGAAAGTGAAAGTGAGAAGGGGAACAACTTTTACACGATATTATTAAAAATATTGGAAATAGAAATTATTAATTCAATAATTCACTTATATACCTATATTTACAATTATAACTTTTACACAGATTTTCAACAATATATTAATTACCTATAAAAACTATACATAATGAAAAAAAAAGTTAAAAATACACATTGAGTTTTATAATTTTATTAAAATATCATCATATGACAAAGTTTATATATATGTGCAAAAACCTGGTCACAAAAAGTTAAAAAAATGAGAAATTTTTTTATAAGATATAACTTTATTTATTGGGAAAAGTTCAAAAAATCCCCTTGTGGTATTACTTTTAATTACTTACACCTCTATTTTTTTAATCACTTAATTGCTTGTGGTTTTTTTCATCCACACCCCCTCTTTAACACCATTAAAAAATTAATTAAGTATAACTATTCTACCATTCTTAGAAGAAGAAAATAAAGAGATCAAAAAAGATCATATGTTATGAAAAATTAAAATACTTTTTTTTGGTAAATGAAAAATTAGAATACTTAATAAAATACTAAAAGAAAAAATAGTTAAAAAAATCAAATGTATCTAAATAAATATATATATAAATAGAATAAAAAATAAGATCAAGTATAACTATTCCCCTTTGTATCTCATTGCCCGATACAGAGCAGGAATACTGACATCCTCTGTTTGTAATTGCACAAGTCCCTATTCAGAGCTCCAATCGACAAACTGATCGTTAGTACATGAAGTATAATGAGTGTAACCCTTGCTTAAAGTATTTCAGCACGATCCAACGGTGAACTTAAGAAGAAAAAAAACTTTCTCTCAAGATAATTGCCTACAGTACAATCGTACACACAAACCACCTTGGTTTGGAATTTCTGGTGATGTTACAGACCTCCAACCAGAAAAGCCACCGTCGGATATGAAGAATGATGAGTCGGGAATATGCCAACAAATCTCAGCTCGATCAGACGGTACATGAAGGAGATATTGTAGAATGATCAAAGACTGCTCCTTCCTCAATTATCCTGTGAAGTTTCTGAAATGGTTCCCTCTCTATTTTCTTTTATAGTGATTGATTTTTTCACTCCCTTGTCTTCAAAATGCTATTCACACACATTAAAAATGGCTGCTGAATATCTTGAACTGGGAACCCTAGCTTTTTTTATTGGGCTGAACTTTACTTTTAATTAAGTGGTTAAAGCCCAACTACAAAGACCAGTGCCCTTTTGGTGGCATAAGAAGCATGCGTCACTTTTCATTCATTTGTATAGTGATGACGACGATGATGGCTAGAACATGTCTCTTTAAGACATTTTCCTCTGCTTCTCACAACCAATTCATTTGTACACACACATTAAATTTCAACATAATCTTATCTTTCCTACGATTAGCTGACATAGGCACTACTATCACTACATGAACTCAATGTCTGCCACAAAGGATGCGACGACGCATTTAATGACTTTTTATCATACGCATATTGCATATTTTCTATATAGTCTTCTCCTACCTATAATGGCAAATTCCTAATTTAAGCCCTTTTACATTTGATTTATATGTTATTTTTGAATTTTGTGAGGGAATATACATCCCTCGCAATTTGCGAGGGAATACTAATCCCTTGCAGTTTGCAAGGGAAACAGCGAGGGAATTTATGAAATTTCAGTTGCAAATTTCAGATCCTAGATTTTGCGAGGGAACTTTCGTCGCTGATTTTTTCCCTCGCTGTTTTCGTCGCAGACTTATGATTCTTGCGAGGGATTAAAATTCCCTTGCAAAGTGCGACGGAATTGCGACCGAACTGCAACAGATTCTGCGACGACGATGTAGTAACGAAAATATTGCCTATTTTCCCTCACAATTGTTTTTCCCTTGCAAATTCCGTCGCAGTTTGCAAGGGAATTTTTCCCTCGCTATTCGTGACTTTTCCAGTAGTGTTATTAATATACATATAGAAAACTTATCTAATCCATACTTACAAAATTTTCTTTTTAAGTCCAGGAGCTTGAGTAATCATTATTGGCAATGAAAGAGACTTGAACAAGTCCATTGGACAAGGTCTTGAGCCTAAATTACAACTAGTTTATAGCGGATCACTGCATCCATTCCTTTTCTTTTAACCGTCGTTCCGTCTATCACTTCACCATGTTGTTCTTGTTATTGCTCAATTTATTTTTTGCATTTATTCTTACTGTTTCATACCACACAACAAATATCTCTTCAATGATTTTGTCGTTCGTCCTTGAATTAAGAAGAATTTGAGTATATAACGACGCGAGGAATTATTTTAAAGCTGCACTGCACCTTTTGTCATAGATTGAACAACACTGTGATAACTGGGAACGACTGCCCAGAACAATTCAATACTATTTAATTTATTCTTTTCATTCTTTAATACAGCTTAGAATTCATACTAGCAATACTTTTTGTGGGAATCATAATATGGGCATTAAAACTCTCATTTGTTACTTGATGCATGCACTTGCACAATTGGTCATCATCTTGGGAATAAATGAGTTTCCCTTGACGGAGTGCCAAGGGACCAACATGTAGCAACTTTAAGGAGTTGCTTGTCGGTAAGATTAGTATGTTGAATATTAGAGAGAAGTATGGTGAACGGAATGGTGCCTCTAAAAAGGTTGAATAGGTTAAGCCACTAGGGTTAGCCTAATAATAAAGGGTGTGAGTAGTTATATAATAGAGTATGTGTTCGATTCCTCAATGTATTAAAAAAAAAGACTGAATAGGTGGAATCAAGGGAGTGGTATGGGAAAGGAAAATATTTTCAGTACTACAAGTATGTAGTATACTGACTACTCGATACATCATTTATCAAATATGGAAAAAAACATATTTATACTATCTTTATTTTTATGATTATTTCCTTCCGTATCCTTATTTTTTTTCTCTTTTTAATAAGGAAGTACTTATTCACATTATACGAAAATATGCTGGTGGGGAGGAAATTCTGATTATTGGTTTGACTCATGGAATAGAGATGTTGAAATACGGGACTGACCTTCACAGAAATGAAGGTCGAAAGTAAAGTGATAGGGTTAGTTTAGGAATTTCCCGACGAGAAAATTTTAATTACCTTTTCTTTACTTAGATGCTCACAAAAAAAAAAAAAAAAAAAAAAAAAACATCTTGATTAACTACATGAGGTGTTAGATATGTCGCATTAAATGAACTGTCCGTCGTGCAAGTCCTTATATGTAGGTGATCGACTTTATTTATTCCTAGCTCCCATCATAAACATTTGGGCTAAGTGCATTTTAAAGATTATTCGTGCTTTCATCTTTTTCATTAATATGCATGTTGCCCTCCTGTGTAATTACCATTCAACTACAATTATATCCAGCTGTATCCACTACTTCTTTCTTCTTTTTTCTTTTTTTGTGATAATCCACTATTTTTTCTTATGGTATGAGTAATTGGCAATGACTTTATTAGTTTCAAGCGCACTAATCATATATGTTGCCAAGTGTCTTATCCTTTTGCGTATTTGTAAATCTGCTGCTTGCTTTTATGTCTATGATGATGCTCCTTTCACTAGAAGCACTTGAGACTCTTAATAATTTGTAATGCCAGTTATTTAGTTGCATAAATGACCATTAAATAACAACCTATAATCATTTTTAAATTATTTTTAATTTCATAAATGTAATATAAATTTTTGTTTCCAACTATTAGCTACTTACACAATACGAGTGACTACTGAAAAAAAAAGTTATTCATAACTTTTTTCCAATTTTATGTATTTAATTAACACATAACTTAATTTGTAACAATTAACTGTAGAATAAAAAATAACTTGTTCATAAATAATAGCCATTTACTACTAAGTTTTATTTTAAATGATTTTTGTGGGGTCGTTATTAATAATTTAAACTTTTTATGTTCCTTAAAATTAAATATTTTTTTTCTTAACGCCTCATAACATTATAGTTTTTTCAAAATTATAAAACTATTAGACAAATTCGTTAAATTTTGCACAACTAAGACATTGGTTTCAATTCTTTTTTATTAAATTATAGCTATTATTTTACTTTTACATTTCTATGAAATAAAAATTTGAATGATAAATAAGAAAAAAAAGAGAGAACTCGAGTATAAATTGCCTTGAGATTGGTTTATACAATATTATTAAATTCAAACCAATTAATAATTCAGTCGGGTATTAGGTTAATGATTATTAAACTTAATATATATAAAAATATATAATAAATATTATAATCACAGCATTGCAACACCGGGTGTTAAACAAGTAAGGGGCCTTTAGCTAGGCTCGTGTAGGCCTGACTTGGTCTGTGTGTTTTGGTTGTTGGATCCAAACTTTGACTTGTATAAAAACTTATTTAATAAAAAAGTTTCAGACTCCAATATAAAAGCCCGGCCTTAAAGCTCATCAGGGTGGCCAACTGTAACACCCCGTCTTCAGCTGGTTTATTAACATACATATGGTTACAAAACTCGTATAAGTAATTATTTTAGCGGAAGACTTAATGTAAAAGTATCACTGTTACACCGAGTAACATAGTTGACTTTTTCTTTTTTAATTTATCTTTACGTATCGTCGTACATAATTTATTTTTTAATCTAACATAATCTATATAGTCATGTACCTACATAGACTCTATATTTAATAAACTTGTGACCATATCTAATGATCAAATCACTATCCGAATATGACAATAGATATCATTTCTAATAGAGTCTTTACGGATAGCATAACAACTCTAAATTAGACTAATCTAGGGATCAAATCCCACTTCATACATAACACTTGATAAATAGAAAAGTCCAATCCATATTCTAGTGTGTGTGTGTGTGTACCAGAATATGGCTCCGTGTCATTACTGATAACAATCCACATAATAACATACATATTTATACCTAAAACTGCATAATACACAACTATATATAGGCTACATATGCCTCTCAAAATGTAAATCCATATTGTACATATGCATGAAACATAACATATCATGCTCTACAAAACATATAC